CCCCCCCCCCCCCCCCCCCCCCGTGACTAGGTACCTCCTCGGTCTCCTTGATGAAGTCAAAGCGCCTTTCCATGTCGGCATACTTCTTCCAGTAGCCGTAGCAGTAGGGGTACCTCAGGAAGAAGCTGTCGAAAGCTTTGCGGGCGGCGTAGATGTGATTCTGCAAGAGCCGTCAAGAGAGAAGCTTGAGTGGATTTGTCCTTTTTTTATAAAAGGTTTTTTTTATTTTATATTTTTTCAGCCTACAAACATTTCATCTTTCCTTAAAACAATGTGTCGCCTGGGCACAAATACCTCCTTGCAACAGCTTTCAGCATTTACAACATCGTTCACACTGATATTCTCTAATCTTAAAACTGTAGTATATTAAACAATTGAGCATTTATTAACCTATTCATTGTCCTCTTAACATATCCTCTAATAAAAATACAACATTAAGCATAATTGTCTTCCTCATCATAATACTAAGTTATCATCTTTTTTAAAAATATTTTTATTGAATGTTTTAATCTTTAAAGACAGAAAGGAAAACACCACAAGAAAAAAAAACACTAAACATATATAACAGTATAAAGTAATCATACGGCCTCCTGTATCAGCTTTTCTGTTATCATCTTAGTTACACTTCTATCTTAACATATTTTCTATTATTCTTTAATCTTCTTTTATTTCCAATTTCCCTTTTTTCCCCTCTAACCATTGATAAAATACTTCCCATATCATATAGTATTCAGTTTGTTCGTTCTCTTTAATTCTTAGTGTTAATCTATTCATTTCTGCACATTCTAACATTTTCCTAATCACCTTCTGATCAAGAGGAATCTCTTCACTTTCTCAAATGCTGTGCAAATACAATTCTACCTGGAGTTAATACATGTATAATTGGCTTGGTTTTGAGAGGGACACAGGAAAAATACAAAACACTGCAAACGTGCTAAGACTGCACGGGAAACTAAGATCAGAAGCCAAAATGTGGTTTAGCATTACTGGCAGCCCTTGTTTAACAAAGCTGATTGGGATCAGATACTGCATTAAGTGATGTAGTCGTAAGTGGATAGTGGGGAATGGAAGGATTTATACTCCTTGCAGACAGCTGGTCATTTGCATCCTTTTAGAGCAATGTTTCTCAACCTTGGCAACTTGAAGATGTCTGGACTTCAACTCCCAGAATTCTGGGAGTTGAAGTCCAGACATCTTCA